GGTCCTTTTAGGACTAGATCTCTGTAAGAATAATTGAACCACCGTCAGGACAGCAAAAAAAAAAAAGCAAAAAAAAGCCATTGCTGAAAAAAACTATTAATCATTGAGGGATGTTGCGACGACTTTCTGTATTTTTGTAGATCAAGGGTGTCACATAATTGTCTGGCACATGTTCATCAAGCTGTGAGTCATTCTGTGTTACCTTCCCCGTAGCGGCCACGTAGCTTTGGGCTTTTCTTTTTCCTCTTTTGAGTCCTAAGCCATAGAAGCAGCGATGAATTCTGAAGCCAGGGAAGGGGCAATAAAGCATCACGGCACTTCCAGTGTGACAGCTGCACGTGGCCATTTGGTACTTTAGACTCAGAGCGGCTGGACTCATTTATCAGTTATTTACAAGCCTCTCTTTAAATAGCTATGCCTGAATAATTGAGCCAAATCTTTGATCATAAAGGCTGCTAAGCTGCTACCACCCCTCCCGCTCCCACTTCATCGTTCTCCCACCGAGTACAGGGAGGGGGACTTCCCCCAGCACCACCCCTTGCCTGTGTTCCCACACTGTCCCCGAGCCGCCGCAGAGGGAAACCGCTCCCGGGTGAGGTAGGAGCTCTTGCAGCCCATCCCAGCAAGGCTCCCGTGTGGTTCCTTTCCCGGGGAACGGAACAGGACTGGGTTTGCCGAAAGCAGCCAGCAACCACGGAAAGAAAATCCCTCCACCCCGCAGGAAAGGCAGCAGGCAGGGGGGGAGATCAGCACACGGGCAGCGTGAGCCGTGTCGCGGCCACTGCGGAGCCTCTGAGGGTCCTCGAGGGCCAGGGTCACTCGGGGAGCAAGAGCTCTCGGAGGGCGGCTCATTTCATACTCGCAAAGACGACATTTTTAGGCTATTTTAAAACCCACTCTTCTCTCACCCCTCAGAAAGGTCACTGAACTCGTCTTTTACCCGCTCATCCGACGTTGCAGACAGAACCTGCTTCCCACTCAACTGTCCTAGGGAATGAAGGAGAACACGGTGCGTTACAAGGAAAAGCAGCGACAACGAGCCAGCAGGGACAGCTGCCGAGAAGGAACCGGGTTCACTCCTCATGAAAACACGCGCTCCTCGGTTATTTAACCCAACC